CTACTTCAGCCACTATTACTACACACCTAAAACACCATCACCATACACAACCATCCACCACAACTAAGTCATACACACATTTATCTTCTTGCCAACCTCTTTCTGTGAGGAACAAAAAAACTGGTCAAGATCCTTAAAACATATACAGCTGGTGACTCAGACTTTAAGCAGACAATCGAAACTTTCAAACACTTCATTTCTTTAACATGAATGATCAATCATCTAAAATAATACTGGAAGCATGGTTTCATGCACATTGAACAGTATTTCAGCTGTAGATGTCTAATTGATGCAGGAGGAACCAGCTCAGAGCATCGTCCACAATCCAGTGTTGATATACCGGTATTCATTCTATAGTGAGAAATAGCCTGGAGACTCCTGCCACAATAGCCTTGTTCAGGAGAGTTCAGTTGAGTTCAGGAGAGAGTGGATCATCTTCATTTGTCTTAGCATTTAGCCTTGCTCCAAGGCTGTACTGAATGCTGACCCCATGGATGTATAGTACTGGTAATTCTATCCTTCAAAGAGGGCAAGTCTAGAAAACCGGACAGGACCCAAGTCTGTTATTTATTATTTTTTAGAAATTATCACTTAAACTATTATTTTTTACCTTAGAGACTTGTGCAAGTCTATCTTAGCATCTTCAGAGTAATTTGACTTGGGTTTAGCTTATTCTTGTCGTTACATTGGTCACATACATGGTGCTGACTAGACAAGTATAATCATATGCGTTAAATCTTGGATACAAACCCACTACAAGAAGATGCTGGCAAAGGGAGACAACTCTCTACAATGACCTACCTTGGGCCACAAGATGAAGTGAGGTGAAATTGGGTTAAACGTCGTCCTTGAGAATATTTTGCTCATATGACGACGTGCATGTGTGTGTATGTGCATGTGCGGCTGCTTGTACTAGCCCAGACTGAAGCTGGTTTTATAGTGCTAGCCCACTGAGATACCATGCCGCAGTGAAGCATGAATACCCAACTCAGACACATTATACTGACTCCAAGCCGACCAGTCCTTGTTTTACCCATTAATGCCGAGCGCCAGGCAGGGACCAACAAGTACCATATTTTAACGTCTTTTGGTATGACGCGGTCAGGGAACAAACCCGCGACCTGCCACAAGATGAACCAAAACATGTTCATACTATTGGAAAATGTATATGTTCTTTAAAGACATAATGCACAATGATCCTACAAGGTATCCATACCCATTTCACTGTGCAATATATGATGTAGATACCATTAACATTAGGCCAAATACAAAAAATGTTGTGATTCGATTACACCTCTTTAAAATTTAGTGTAGGTAGGTAGGACTTTTTTTTTTACCTTTTTTTTTAAAGTAAAGTACAAACCAATAACACATTTATCAATGTATAATTGTTTATTCAATCAAGATTTTGGCCATCATGTCGACTTTCTCTATCAGAATGACCGATGTCCGTCGGTGCCAGAAAAAAACAATGGTATCTAAAAGCTTATTTCATTTATACTGCTTAAAAAATTAGGATCGGCACCAGAATTCAAGGGTTGGTCGGGAAATCGGAAACCACAACATTTTTTTTAGGTCTTACGGGTGTCACAATTCATTGGTGCACTGTGAATTCACATCCAACAGTGCATAACATGCTAACCCATATATTAGTTTATGTTCAAGGCTGTGACTATTTTCAAAAGGTTAGAGGGTTTTACAAAAACCAAGCATGGACCACTGGGAATAGTGTTGTCAACTGCAAAATACAATACAAAATCTTATCCATTCTAGAACAAGTCTAAATTAATCAGTTATATATTCAACACAAACCACAGTCAAACCCTGTTATCTTGAACTTCTAAGGTCTACAAACATAGCTTGACTTATCCTATGGTTCAACACATCAATGCTTTTAGCATGATCCATGCTAAAGCCAGGTGTTTTACTATATGTTTCTACCAATTTCCTGATTTTGATGTTTCTTACCTGTACAGCCATTACGTTTGATACAAATTCAAACGTGTTCTAAGTTGTCTCTTGTTAAATTTTGAGTTCAACTTATTACAGTACCATTTAACTCAATTCAAACACTTGGGACTATGAATTGTTTCAACCATGAACTCAACTCATCCAAATAAAACAGTGATAAAAATTGCAAGTGTTTGTTGCAAATATAAGAGTCTCACAAATCAGAGCCAATACAACAGGTTTTGACTGCACATAGCAACGTCACATTAGATGGAACACATCAAACATGCAAAAATGGCAAAAATTAAGAATCACAATACACATGGAACATTGACTCATATATCATGATATGAATTGCTATTTGACATAAGCATATCGCGACACCCCTAACATTCATAGGTTAGTATTTCCCCGTGCACCTTCTCCTCCAACTGATTGGCTGACATCATGGCAGACTGTTACTAAAATGAACTAGTTGTGCACAGAACATGCTCTACAGGGGGGTTATTCTGTGAAGAGTCCATTACATTCAGAGTGAGTTCAGTTTTACGTCGCTATTAAACAATATTCCAGCTATATCACGGCGGGGGACACCAGACATGGGCTTCACACATTGTACCCATGTGGGGAACTGAACCCGAATGCTTTTACCACTAGGCTACCCCACCGCCCCATTACATTCAGAGATAATGTCACGGTCAAAGAGTGAACAGGAGTGCTCAGATACCATTGTGCATCCCTCAACAGAAATGATAGAGACGATGATTCTACTGGTGACCATACACAGATTCAGAAAGAGTGAAAAGTTGTACAGAATTTACCCCATGTGTTGAATGATATGCTGCAGATTTATCATAATACTGAAGGGATGTCAAGTCACAAGCCCTCAAAATGTGATATTCAACAGCCCACTTTGAAGTTTTACTTTTCAGTTATAATTTTGTTTACACGATAACAATGCTGAAAAGTGTAATACATTGAAAAAATATTATTTCAAACTAGCCTTATGGGTATATGCGTGGACATTTGTAATTTCCCATAATTGAGCATGAATACATTGTTCATGATTGTAAATATACACAGCTGTAAATCTCGCTCTTTTGGAATTGCTACAGAGAACAGAAATGTGTCACAAACTTGAGACTGAGGTTGCACCTGGGTCCTGCCACGGATTGTAATCTGCACACATTCATTTTAGAACTCCAATAGCTTTCGAACTCCAATAGTCAAGGGGAATGTGGTGAGCAATGAATTAAATAAATTTAGGAATACTTTTGAAACCTAAGAAATAGCTTTCTCTTCCTCTCATTATCATGATAAACAGGTCAATACTGCATTAAAATTCTTTGTGTCTGGAATATTTTACTTTATAATAAACAATTCATATTGTAAAAATACTGCCATGAAATGTCTTCCAGTCCAGTGTAGGAGAGATATTTGGCTCTAATAAACACCACAAAAGAAATCACTACGAAGACAAAATGACAATATTTTATGTACACTTCAGCCACATTTCCCATCCCAGATCTTCAATCTATGACACGCAGAGATCCCACAGAAAGTGTGATAATTATGTTTGTGTAGAGAAAACAGAAATGTGAAAGTATAAAATATCTACTTCAGTGTCCCTTATACAAAGTAATAGATAAATGTCTCACCCGAACTGAACTCATTTTTGGAACTGAATATGAATGAAGTAGTAAATTATAACACAATACTTTGTGAATTTTTTGTTGTTTCACGCCACACTCAGAAATAAATATTCAAGCTTCATGATGGCTATCAGGAAATCCAGAGATAGACATAATGAGCATTAATCCACACGCATCGATCATCTGATCCCATAGGTGCCTCTGAAGACAAACAGGTTAGATCAATATTATAACTGGGATCTTCACTTCTCAATAAAGCACTCAATAATGAAAAAAACTTTTCACACATTTGATGGTACTATTTAATGAATCAGCTATCTGATTCTACAAAAACTTCATAAAAATCAAAAGTGGAAAAAATATGTCTGAAAGCAATCTTGATAATCTCATGCATGCTTTTGGTTGATTTTCTTTTCAGGATTTTCACAAAAGAATCAGTTAAAACAACATAAAAGTTGTGTTGAACAAAGGGTGGCATCTCCAATACATTTGGTGGTATGACTTTTGTCTACCCATGACAACTGATTTCCTTTCATGTATGAACAGTGAGAGTGAGTGAGTTTAGTTTTACTCCGCACTCCGCAATATTCCAGCTATATGGCGGCGGTATGTAAATAATCGATTCTGGACCAGACAATCCAGTGATCAACAACATGAGCATCGATCTGCGCAATTGGGAACCGATGGCATGTGTCAACCAAGTCAGCAAGCCTGACCACCCGATCCCGTTAGTCGCCTCTTACAAGCATGGGTTACTGAAGATCAATATTCTAACCCGGACCTTCACGGGTCTCATGTATGAATAAGCTATACATAGTAACATGACAACAATTTGGTTGATTAAAATGGGTTTCCCTTTGCACCATTTTGACTTTCCCCTCGAAACAGAAGGGATACATCATACAGTTTAGGTTTCTCTGCAGGTCTTACTCTTAGTAGAGAACATGGTCTATGGTCTCTGCTCTTGAACGCGTTTTACTTTTGGTTGCATGTGGTTTTGTCCCCATTGTTTGGAGTCCAAACTCTAGTGCAATGTACTGTAAAGTGAGGTTTCCAAACTGAATTAAATATTAAACGTAATTAATAAAAGCCTCACCAAAAGTTTTCTCGGAAAACGTGTAGAAAAACTATAAACAAACGCGAGTTACTTCCCTTGACACAATAATTCGAACGCAGTCCAACCAACTACTCAAATATATATGTTAATCAAAGAATCTTGTAATTTCTTGTCCGTGAGTATATATGAAAAACAAATAATGATACGATATTATAATTAAATATGAAATCTTCATGGACATGCACATGTTGTTGGTTTACACAAACTACCTTTGTATTTACATACCTTATCGTGTAATTAGTTGGAAAGAAAATATCATGTATTAAACTATCGGTTGCTATGGAAAATCGATATTTATCATGCGTTCTCCGAGTCGACAACGGATCACACATGTGCGAAATTCAACTTTGGTATGTGCAATGTATATTGTGATACAAAATGCATCTATGTAGAAGAAAATACTTGACTAAATACACAAAGAACCTGCTGGAGAACGGACAATCAGTTGCCACGTGACGTCATCAGTTTACACATGGCGGCCACGACCCAACCACTTGCTTGATTGAGTGATGTTTTGATTTTCATATTTATGTTGTGACAGGTGTTGGTGATGTACGATGTCTTCACTTTTGTGTATGAAACAACCAGGCGGATCTGTTAAGATCCATTCTGAAGATATAGTGAAAGAACTTACACAAGACAAGGATGCACCGCAAGTTCACATGGTAAGATTGGAACAAAAACACCTCTCAGTGTCACTGTAGAAAGTCAATTATATTTCATTTATTTCCCCGATATTTTCCCAGGTTATTCTTCCTGTGTTTATGTAATCAATAATCATTACGCAAAAATATAGTGTTGTGGAGCTAGTTTATTTTCTTTAAAATGTATTGTAGACTCAATGAATGATCATCTTTTATCATTGTTTCTTTTCCAGTCAGCTAGTAGGAGTAGACGCAGACCAAGCAGAAGGTCCGATACATCTTTGTCTAACCACCGCCAGACAGGAACTAATGGAGTAGACTCCAAAAGTCTCATTGGTCAATCACTGAAAATCCAGGATTGGTTGAATGAAAAAACAGTAAAAGACTTACAGGTTTGTCGATGAAGAAATTGTTTTGTTTTCACTCTCTGCTTGCTCTTTCTTGTCACACAGATTTGAAAAAGTTATGAACATTTTTGTAGGTAGTGATTGTTTCATAAATTTGTATTTTGGGACAGAAACCCACTCAGCTGGGTTTATTTTTTATGGTGGGCAGTCAAAGTTCATACAGGTTTTCCCTTATGAGACCTTTTCTCAGATGTTCTGAGATTTTTGAGCAGATAGGTATTAGACTTAAAGATGTGATTTTAATGATATTGGCATTAAACAAGGGTAAATATTTCAATGTTTTGATCTTTCTCTAACAGAATTGAATACTTGTCACTCTATGGAAAGCTTTAACATCCTACGTTTCAAACTTGATGCAATTTGATTGTTCCTGCTAGAACAACCAACACATTATGGCAAACAAATATAGATGATTTGAAAAATAACCTTCAGCCTTCCAAAATTGTGTCTAATGAAAGTGTATGGCTTAATATGCTGTTAATTTTTAGGATATCAGATATATTGATGTGAAAAATGAATAAATATTGCTAGTCTCATACTTGGTACTAACATCTATTGCAACACATACATAAACATAATAAATGAAGTAAATGCTTTCTCAAACTTTATTTCAGGAGAAGTCTGACTCTGAATCAAAATCTGTGAAGAAATTGTATGGACCATTACTGGAAGCAGAGACTACATTTGTCAGGGTAAGATGATCAATAGCAGTGTTACTTTCACCCAGCATTGACAAGACGATTCAGACAGAATACAATCACTGGCTGGTTTCACAATAGTTGTAAAACAATCATGATACTGTCCAGTTGAATGTTTGAGTGAATTGTCTTTTTCTTTAGAAATGTATTTTAGTTATATTGAGGCAAGTCAACTTGATGTGTCTTAGGTGTTTGCTGTTTAGTGAGATTGGTAGTCAAAGGTTAAAAGGTGATCATGGTGATAAATACTTGCTTTGATACACATTGACTGTTGACTGTTTTCTAGAAGAGAACAAAACAATACAAAATAGTTGAATATTTTGAGCATGTTGAGAACTGTAACTAGAATCATCTAAAATGACAATCTTGCTGGAATTATTCTGATAATCTGTCATCATCACAAGCCTAGATGTTGCACAGGAAATACAAGTTTTTACTGAGTTATTCAAATGATTAGGTGACTGCCAAAAATCTTCAGGCTATTGAAGTCTCTGATAAAAAACATTTTGTTTTGAAAAGACCCTCTTCTATCCATATGTGAATGTACAAATTGAAATACAAACTTTAGTAATACATAGGTGGTTTGTAGATTAGAACATTTGCATATTTCTAATTTGCCAACCCAGTCATTATCGTTCCAGCTTTGAAGGTCCAGGCAAATACTTTTGTCAAATGAGAAGACCGGTTTTGGTCAGAGGAAGTATTTTTACATGCTAAAAAAATTGCACAAGAAGTGGACTGTAAACATTAATAGAGGAATGAAATTCTTGTGCTTTGTGAAACTTACCATTGGCAGGCCTTGAACACTAACCTTCATAAACAACTCTATTTCTATGAACTTGTGCATTGTTGTGAATATAGATCATGGAGTATTTAGAATTCCAGATTTTGCCTGTTCCAAGATTGAGAACTTGTGTCAGTAGTTTATTGGGTATTAACATACTACAAGAAAAACAGGTTGCATCCTGCCTTTTTCTTGAGACACAATGTTTATGTCGCGATACAGTACTAGCACCACTCCTCTAGAAGTTAGTGAGTTTTGGTTTTACGCCACTTTTAGCAATATTCCAGCAATATCATGGCGGGGGACACCAGAAATGGGCTTCACACATTGTACCCACAGTCTATAAGTAGTCAGTTTGGTCAGAAAAAATGACTTCAGCATATGTGTAAATAGGAACTTAATTTGAAGCACTTACAGGCTCAAATAGAGGTAATATACTGACACCAACTAAGAAAGCCTGAATTCTACTAAGTTACATTTATGGGCTAATCCTAAGACTGTGTAAGTACTAACCCTGTGTATGGTTGTTCCAGGATGTGGATGAGTACCTCGGAGACAAGGAGCTGCTGGATCTCAGGAAGAAGGAGCTGTTACACAAGAAGTGGAATGACCAGGTGTATGAGCCCCTCCGTAAACAGATCATCGGTGTCATGGATGGTTATGACTGGCCAGATCTTGACCGCAGGAAACGAGAGATGCACAAGCAATACTTGGAATTTCTGAATGATAAGGTAATATTTGTAGTTCATACCTGTATTGGCATGTTTGTGCAATGATTATGCATGTGAGCAAGTTGTGGATCATTAAATGGATCTTCCATTGCATGCATGTATGTGTTAGGAAAGCAATGCACAAAGGAAACATTATCTCAAAGTGTAAAAGTGAGTGAGTATGGTTGTACACCGCTTTTAGCAATACTCCAGCAGTATTACGTCAGGGGACACCAGAAATGTGCGCTTAACACATTGTACCCATGTGGGGAATCGAACCTGGGTTTTCAGCATGACGAGCCAATGCTTTAACCACTTGGCTACCCAACCATCCCCAAGGTGTAAAAGGGTTGAATGGGTCCACATATATTTTCAGTGAGTATGTTAGGTTTAATGAGTGAGTGAGTTTAGTTTTACGCCGCACTCAGCAATATTCCAGCTATATGGCGGAGGTCTGTAAATAATCAAGTCTGGACCAGACAATCCAGTGATCAACAGCATGAGCATGGATCTGCACAATAAGGAACCAATGACATGTGTCAACCAAGTCAGCGAGCCTGACCACCCGATCTCGGTAGTCGCCTCTTACGACAAGCATGGGTTGCGGGAAGATCAATATTCTAACCCGGACCTTCACGGGTTGTTAGGTTTAATGCTGTATTCCTGCTACATCATGGTCTGACATCTTTATGTGTGTCGTTAAATAATGTATGGGATGTTTTGTTTTGGATGTTTACAATGATCACACCAGGAGATGAAACATTTGTATTTTGTTAGATGTGTCAGATTACTGCTGGATTGACTGTCATGATGCTTCTGTAAATGTTCAGAGCACTCAGCATATTCAAGTGTTGTTGTTTCAATGTTTTCTGCACAGCCTTGCATGTTTTGACATCTGTGTGACAGGGGCATGTTTTCCTGGACACCATGGATCCTGGAGAGTATTATGCACAGGCCCTCACTGGCCACAGACCTGCACCCATCAAGGTAATGTCAACCCATCAGGGTAATGTGATTAGGTGCTAGACTCAGAGTCTGGGTTCAAATCCTGGATGGGATTCAACTCCCCTACCCCCTGAAAAAAGTACTAGAACCTGTACTTTACAGAGAAAGTTAATTCCAAATATGACATATGTTATGATATGATCTTAGCACCTGAGAGATATGACACCTGTAGGATGATTACCCAGTAGGACATTATTGGCATCAACATAGCAGCAACCTAATTGTTTGTCAAAGTATGTTTACAATAAAAAGAATCACCAAACTATTTCATCAACACAGCCACATCTGAAACAAAATGAACTTTATTGGCTCCAATCCATTTCCTGTTTTCCATGTGAGACAATGTTTTTTATTACTATTGGATTACCTCCCTTTGCATACTAAATTTGCCCAGTAATTGGGATTAGGAGCCATTCAAGATGAGACTAGGTCAAGCTGCATTCACTTGTGAGGAAACAGCTTGTCTTTTCTCCACAAATCCAGTGTATTACAAATGTGATACATTTCATGGTCAAAATGAAATTACAGCTAACAACACTTCAAGACCTCATGCTTGTGGGCCCAAAATACTTCTTAGAAAACTGTCTCCTCTCATCATTCAGTGAACCTTGTAACAAATGTCATGCAAATAAGGATTTATATGAAACTAAAATTGAACAAATGACAAAATATCTAGACCAGATATGATATGTTGTAAGAGATTGTTTAAAATAATTGAAATGCATGACAATTATACTTTCTATTCACTTACACCTGGAAATATGTTATTTCAAAATGTTACAAATCAATACAGATACATGTACATATATAACATAACACTTGTTTAAATTTAATATTCATTCACTAGTTCCACTTGTATATAAGTTACTATTGTATTGGCTTATATGCAGTTACCTCCCCTTTTTCCAAATTCGCATATCCTGAAACCCTGTGGAAAAGGCACTTAGTGAGTGAGTGAGTGAGTTTGGTTTTATGTCGCTTTTAGCAATATTACAGCAATATCACGGCGGGGGACACCAGAAATTGGCCTTACAGATCGCACCCATGTGGGGAATCGAACCCGGGTCTTCGGCGTGACGAGCCAACGCTTTAACCACTAGGCTACCCCACCGCCCCGGAAAAGACATTTAGAAGTTAATAATAGCCGAACATCAATACACGACACATTTTATGGATAACTTTTTTTTTATTCATTATCATGACATTTCATTTCTAATTCATAATGATACACAACACCCACTTTCCGAAACGCTTCTTAGTTTACGCGACATCAGTTTGCTGATGAAGGAACAAGATAAAGAATCAGAAGAAGTGTCATGTACCCAGTGGAAAAGTTAAGTTGACTATTCAGGTCGCAGTTTTGTATTTTGACAAAACTTCTAACATTTTGTGAATTTAGGGGTGTATTAAAAATGAATTTGAAACCTAACAACATGACAGGAATGTGCAATACCCATATACAGTAAAATATAGTAGAAAGGCATTTCCTATACATTTACCTATAAAACCCCTTGTCTCAACATACTTTTTTGGAACTTTTACAAAGGGACCTTTAGAATTAAATGAGCTTGCATGAGCTTGTAAATATATTCCTAGGTCATGCACAGAAGAAAAAGATGATCTATTCAGGTTTGAAGGGAGCAGTTATCAAACTTATAAAAATAGATACAATTATACAAGGCTGTGGGTAGCCTATTTTAATTGCCTGACTATAAAAAGCAAAAACCAAACTTTCAGTCAGTTCCATATCTTTATTTTATTTTTGTTATCATATTTTGATAAAATACATTTGCTGTTGGGCATTGAATGAAAACAGTCTTGAAATAGTCTTCATGAAGTGAACACAGAGGAAAAATACATTTTCAGATAATGACAAAATAATTGCATACTATGAAAAATGCTGAAATCTTTCTGTGCTTTTGTTATAACTGCATTTTTTTTCAATCAAAATAATTGTAACTTTAACTGTTAAATGAAATGTTATTACTCTCCCGTAAGGAAACCAATTCAAATCAGAAAATGATATTTTGTGCATTATGAAAACAATATAAATTGTTGAAGGTAAATCATCATGTCATTAGCTCATGTCCTGCAGGTTGAGACAGAAGCACTTCGAGACCCACTCTTGTCCCAGAGTCGAGAGCGGAACATGGAAGAACGGACCATTCTGCGATGCATGACCGGAACACGATACACAGACCAGGATCTGGAACAGGTCAAGCTGCCCCCTCTACCACTGGTCCCCCTGGGGCGCCATGGCACCGACAGTCTGCAGTGGCTGCAGATGCCATTAGTCAATATAGAGAGCTCTCCAAGACAGATAAGCAGGTAGCCTAGATGCTTCTTAGTTTATGGAACCAGCATGTGAAGATCAGAATTAATTTCATGGAGAACTATTTACATGATCTGAACCCAGTGTTTTGGTTCATTTTCTCAAGGAAACTGAAAATATGACAGGCTGATATTTACTTTGAGAAAAATGGGTCCAGTCCTTGGGGTGAAAGATTTGTTTGGCATGAGATAATGCCCTTTGGATGCGAGGGGAACTGCCTCGAAAGACTATTTCATTGTTGTTGTTTTCAGTTTGTAACTTCTTTCATTGTTTCCCATTGTAATCAATGAAATTGAATATGTCTTTCACTAAAGTCTAAATATTTGTTTTGTAAATTATTTTTCGTTTTTTACTTCAAGTTCAATCATTCATAAAATTGAAATTGTGAGTGGATTTGATTCATCTTTATTCTTGATGCATTTTTTATTTCCAACACAGATATGAGCTAAGTGCTGGTTCTATACTCATAACACTTATTCCATATCGTCTTACACATATTCAGCAATATGTGACATATGTTGGTGTTTGTCTATTGTTCACAATTTCTTTATCAAATCAACTTACATGAATGCCATTTTCTGAAATATATAAAGCAGACACTCTTTAAATTGATGCACGTTTCAAAGCATCTTTTTTGCTGTGATAAAAACTCTCGAAACTCCTCTTGATCAAATTTGTCAGTACATTATGAATAAGTTAAAAATTTAATGTCACACTGGCAATATTTGAGCCATATCATGATGACTGTACTTTTAGAAGTTGTGAACTTTGTTATGTACTGTTTTAACATGTCTTTTAGGAGATCGTTTGACATTTAAAAATACAGGTTCATTTTTACCAGGGCCCTTTTTCTCGAAACGTTCGTAGCCCTCAGAATTCTTAACTTAAATCGTAGCCACTGTGTTAGAATGGCATTAAGAGGTTCGTAGGGCTACGAATGTTTTGAGAATAGCTAGCCAGGACTGTATCATATGTACACTGTGTGTTAGTTAATTATAACATGTAGTGTTAACATTTGATATAAACGTGTAATATTTAGATTAATCTATGGACATTTCAAAATACAGGTTAAATATTACCAGGATTGTACTGTATGTACACTGTGTGTTAGTAAATCATAATATGTAGTGTTATCATCTGATATAAACATGTACATGTAATACTTAGATTAATCTATGGATGTATGTAGAATATGTGTGTGTAATACATAACTGTGTCAAACTGAATACTAAATTTAGCACTAGTTACTGATTGACACATGTCATAATCATCTTGTATGTCTCACTTATGGTGAATGGAGTTTTTGTCACAACTGCGTGGATTGTAAAGCTGGACATAGGTCAAGGAAACCTGTGGTTAATATGTGATTTTTGGTATCACCAAGTCGACTGTGGCTCACTTTTGAAATCTTTGACTACTGATCAAATATTTCAAATATTGACACCTGTTTCTACCCTTTGGGATTCTGGTCTATAAGATGTGGGGTTCGCCTGATAAATGGCATGATTTGAAGTTTTGACATCAGAGTAAGCCAGGTATCCAAGTAATTATTAACTTTCATTTGTCACCTATGGTGGAACTTGTGATGGGCTCTGCTCTGTCCACTGAGTGTCTAAACTTAGATGTAGATACTGATTGGTTCATGAAGCTAACACTTATCTCTGACAATTGAACCATATTGTTCCTGCAGTTATTAATGTAATTTTTGTTCTCACAAGTACCTTCATAAAATATAATGAAGTCCCAGATTTATATTTCCTAACAAGTCTCAGGTCATGATTTTAGTCAGATTGTTTCTTTGATAAATATGAAAATTAATTGCATAAAGATAGTCTAAATTATGCCTGTGATAAATCAATGCAGATTTGCATGTGATTTTATAGACCACTTCACATATCGGACACAGGGTACAGACTCAATTACCTCCCTTTACCTAGGACTGACTTCCTTCAACTTTGTATAAAAGATTATCCAGAAAGAAAACCATGTATGGAAACTCAACATGAGGTGTTCAGCTTGATTAATTTTAAATATGTTTGTGACTTTCTTGTTTCATCTCATTTTATAGTCGGGCAGGAAATTGGCAATTTAGACTATTTGTTTGGGCCTTATAAGATCCATGTAGAAACTGAGAGTTCTGACTTACATGTGTTTCTGGGTTTCTACAACAGGCGCCGAATGCATGGCCACGGAACAACCAGCATGTTAAATTTCGAGGAGTGGGCCCAACAAGAGTTTGACCCCCAAATTGTCGACCGAGAGCTGCAGTGTCAGAAGAAACGCATGTTCAAGGTGACCCCGCCGTACAACACTGTCCCCGTGGAGGTGCCACGCCCACCCATGATCGTGCATCACGACAGAGGGGAACATCAAGTAGTGACCAAATGTATCTGACCTCACAGATACTGGACAATGTCGGAATCTCTGGACTGTTGTGTTGCAGTGGGAAACTTTACCAAATGTGCAGAGTAGTTTAATTAACATTGCATTTGAAAAATTAACATCAATCTTGTCTGTCTATGGTACAAATAGTCGTGTGAAATGCAACCAGTCAGTTGTATGGTAATCATTTTTATTGCATTTATTGATCCTTGTAGAATGGTACCTGGGAAGAACAAAACTTGTCAGTTTATGGTGCTTTAACAGCGATCAATGTGATTTATTTATGTGAACTTTCAGTTTTGAATTATACACTGATTAAAATTCTTCCTGATGTAAGCTAGAATGGTTGTTTGTTGAGAAAGTCAACAAGAATTGGATATTGAGACCAATAATTTAAATTTTTGTAAACTTTCTTTTGAAAGTGTTTGATACACTGTTCTGAACCTGTAATGATTTGTTAAACTCTCAATGAAGAGACTTTGTTTTATATTGTTATTTCTCCATTAATGTTTTTTCTGTATTTTCAAACCTAGAAAGTGATGATTGAATTTATATGAATCAGTTTGTAATTTCTTGTTACCCATATCTTACATATTTGGTGATGTCCTTTACTCATCACTGAACTTTTGGATCTCCAATACATGGTTGTTAGGCAATAGAATTGGTTGCTAGGTAAATGTATGATGTATATCTTTATAATTTTAAGCCAATTTGTTTTGATATATTCACGAACTCACATCAGCACAAGAACTAAATATATTTACCATATTTGCACCCAATCTTTTGAACGTGTAAAAGCAATTATGTATTTCTTGTATGTGATATACTGCTGACTTACGTAATATATTCTTATGTACAATACATTCATATGTATAGTGCCTGAATGCATCTTCCTGTGGCTGCCTCTGTAGGCTCCAACTGCTGTTGTTTATATGTATCTCCAGTGACTGCTATGAGTTATTTATGTAGATACATGTTGTTTATATTCTATACAGTCTTGTCTTTCATCCAGCATAAATGCCTTAGCTAACAAGCAGTATTATCTAACACTGAAGGCAACACAACTTGCACAAGTCTGTAACTGAGAGCTACGTTTTTAAAGAACTGATCAGGTTGATTTTTGACAATGAAAAAGAATAATGGAAAGTAAAGGGTGTTCTGAATGTTTTACTTGTCAAGGATTGTTGCCCAGTGTTATTTTTTTGTAGGTTACTGTTCCATGTTGGACACGGTTACTGTTTAGTGTACAGAAATAAACATTCTTTTATTTGACAATATCTATATGATCTTTTCTTCTTGGTATCATGTACAAATTGGGGTTTTAAGGTCAGGTGAATTGGGGTTAAACGTTGCTCTTAAAAATATTTCGCTCATATGACAACGTGCATGCATGTGTGGCTGCTTGTACTAGCCCAGACTTACATTTTTGTAAGCTGGTTTTATAGTGCTAGCTCACTGAGATACCATGCCGCAGTTAAGCATGAATACCCCACTCGGACACATTATACTGACTCCGAGCCAACCAGTCCTTGTTGTACCCATTATTGCCGAGCGCCATGCAGGGACCAGCAAGTACCATATTTTAATGTCTTTTGATATGAAGCTGTTGGAGATCCTTCCGCTCTCATGGCGGACACTCTAACCACTAAACCACGGAGGCGGTCAGGGCTTTTAAGCATGTCAGCTTAATGTGGTCAGAAAGCGCTAATTGATGATGGTTTCAACTTTTATCTCTTTGGTGCAGGCAAACCTAGAAACAATTGTGGCAAGTCAGGAATCAAACCCACATTCATCTATCGAGTATGCAAGTATTTGTGTAATGAGTTTGGAGTGAATGAGTTTAGTTTTACGCCGCACTCAGCAATATTCCAGCTATATGGCAGCGGTCTGTAAATAATCGAGTCTGGACCAGACAATCCAGTGATCAACAGCATGAGCATTGATCTGCGCATTTGGGAACTGATGACATGTGTCAATCAAGTCAGCGAGCCTGACCACCCGATCCCTTTAGTCACATCTTACGACAAGCACCTTAGTGCATTGTGAAAGGAGGCCCTGGTGTGAGCCGCTTTTGAGCCAAACGGACTATATTTCAAAACTTCGTATTTTGGTACTTTCATAACAATGTCATTATACAGGCGATCCCAGAGATCGGCTCCTACAGAGAGTCGATTTCAGTGTGTGGATTCGAACATGATGCTTCAGAGACATCAGCGAGTGAGTATATAGCTGTGCTACTATTTTACCTTACTCAAGATCGAGATTCTAACCCAGACCTTCACAGGTATAATGAGTTTGGACCAGATAATCAAGTGATTGACATCCTGAGCATTGGTCTGTGCAATTGGGGTATGATTATATGCACCAACCAAGTTATTGTAGTTTCTGGAATTGAGTGAATGTACAAAGGTATATTATTCCACAGATATGGGGAAAATGTCCCCAAAATGCCACATCAAGTTATGTGAAATTGGATTTTTTAACATTGTGTTAACATTTTGCAATTCTATAGTGAGAAACATGTACTAGTGTGTGAGAGTGCCCGCTAGTGCCTTAATATCTGGATACCATGCCACGGACACAAGGATACCTCACTCAGACATGGTTTACAGATTGGTGATGCTTGTCGTACTAACATGATCGGTTGGTCATGCTCGCTGACTTGGTTGACACATGTCATCATATCCCAAATGTGTCGATTGATGCTCATGCTGTTGATCACTGGATTGATTGTCTGCTAATGACTCAATTATATACAGACCACTGCCTTATAGATGGAATAAACAACAAACCAACCAACAGACTTGGTGTCACCTTATCCTTATCAAACAGGCTGACAAGTAGTACCACAGTTTGAGGTCTTGTAATATTACAACCTAATCTACGACCAACTGCTTTTCAACCAATGCTTGCTTCTGTTAGGTGGTATGATTATCTAAACATCATACATACCTTATTTCCAGGATGTTGTCAGGTCGGGCTTGGTTCAAATCATTTGTAACTTTATGTATCATAACAGCAGCTCAAATTTATTATCACATTTCTCTTAAAAGAATATTGATAAAACCAAACAGTTTAAAGAGTAAATGATATCTAGGTTTTGATGTTTTACAAGTTTAACAATCAAATATTTGGCTCAGCATTCAGAGAATACTGTCTCTTTCAAAAAGGATGGTCATTACGATTTTCTTGGCGGTAACATTGTGTTTCTCCTAAACTCAAAGTGCTACAACATTCCACCACTGGGAACGTCTGCTGGTTATTGAGTATTGTAAAACATGCACTGGGCGCATGCGTAGTCATACTATGCGTGCAGCACGAGCAGCATGCGCGTGGGCGAAATAGAGACCAGTATGACGCAATGACTTGAGGATAATAAGTTCATGCGTCGCAAGCTAAGACACATTTTTTAAAAAAGTAAACGAGGGGTGCACTTTTGAAGCGTTGAGAATAGGTTGATCCTCAACGTTGAAAATAGATTGAAAATAGGTTGTATATGAAAGTTTTTTGGCGTAGATATCCGGCGATGGAATCAGCGTTGAAGTTTGACCCGATTATCAGCGTTGAAAAGGGTTGATCCTCAGCGTTGAAAATAGGTTGTATATGAAAGTTTTTTGACGTAGATATCCGACGTCGAATCAATGTTGAAGTCTGACATATTATTAACGTTGAAAATGGGTTGTTCCGTGGTTGTGTCTGGGAGGTATTAAGCTTTCCTGTAAATGGGCTTCGCATTTCATCTTTAAACTACAATAAAGTAGCACCAAACTCCTGCATCCAGCTAAAATACCCAAAAAGCTACCTGCAATAAACAGTGTTAAAACAGAAAATATTTACCTGATAAAATACTTGGTTAAAATTCCACATTCAATATAATGTTCATTTAAGTTTTATGTCAGTTGGACGATAATTCCAGTAAGAAGAAAAGATCATTCCAAATTAAGAAAAACTATTTACTGTTGTATTGTTACCTTGAAAAGGTGAAAATTGTCCTGAGAAGACATTTTGTCTGAATTTCAGCTCTTAGACAGACCTCTGAATAAACACAATGCAATTACTTTCACTGCATGAAAGGGATCCAAGATGACCAAGAACTATACCTGAAGACAGCACATAAAACAAATCACTTTCATGAAATCTTTATGAACACACGCACACAGAAAACGTGGTTTAATGCATAATGTAAAACATATCACATGACATAGTCTGTAGGTGATCTCTGTTGTGCTAATAACACAATATCATCTGCATATAGCATCAAAGTGACATTTACGCCACCAATTTCAATACCACAGTTCAGATTTTCAACACAATTACAACTCCAAAACAAAATTATCAGCTCCTCTTCTTTCTGCCACTCCTGCCTGGCGGTCAGGTGGATACTTCAGAAACGTTCCTAACTCTTTTTGAAATTTGCTTAGGATGCATTCCCATCTCATTCCTTGAGATACCTCACATTCTGAAATTTTATATTTAAATACATGAATAAGTTATATGGAAGATATATTGTCTTAAATGATTCAAGTATTTGTTTAATCAATCACTTGAAAGGTTCATTTCACTGCTGTAACTTGGCATGTGAACATATGAACAGCATCAATACAAAATATGACGAAAAGTGTAAACAATTTATATTTTCAACCTGAAGGAATGGAAGTTTTCTTAAACATTTTCAAAGAAGTATGGATCGGAACCTCTGTGTGTATACAATATATTCTCTATTATCTACTCTCTTTGGCGTTACGACAAACTAGAGATGTATCGTGATAGTAAAACGGACTGAATTTCATTATAGTCCGCTTGATTGAATTGCAATCAAACTCGAAAACTAATAAACGTATAATACTGAATGAAACGCTGATCATAATTAAAACATCAGACCAACGCTATTTTGGGGTGATATTTGTGTAGAAATTACGTCATAAAAATAAAAATGTTGAACAAACTAGTATATTTACAACTATTTGTTACGAGGGAGGGGCGATGGGGTAGCCTAGTGGTTAAAGCGTTGGCTCGTCACGCCGAAGACCCGGGTTCGATTCCCCATTGGGCACAATGTGTGAGTCCCCGCCGTGATATTGCTTATTGCTAAAAGCGGCGTAAATCGATCAGTCAGTCAGTGTTACGAGGGAGGAGTGCAAAGGTCTATGAATTGCAATCAAACTCGAAAACTAATAAGCGTATAATACTTAATGAAACACTGATCACAATTAAAACATCAGACCAACGCGATGAGTTTTTGGGGTGATATTTGTGTAGAATTTACGTCATAAAAATAAAAATGTTGTTTAACAAACTATTATTAATATATTTACACAGTTCACTATTTGTTACGAGGGAGGGGCGGTGGGGTAGCCTAGTGGTTAAAGCGTTGGCTCGTCACGCCGAAGACCCGGGTTCGATTCCCCACATGGGCACAATGTGTGAAGCCCATTTCTGGTGTCCCCCGCCGTGATATTGCTGGAATATTGCTAAAAGCGGCGTAAATCTAAACTCAGTCAGTCAGTGTTACGAGGGAGGAGTGCAAAGGGAGGAACAGCCATGGGCTTCTTTCACGAAGCAACCTTTTCTGAGGTTAACCTTAACTCCCATTCTTTAACATTGCACACATTTTACCTTAGTGACTTACGATCACCTTAGTGCTTTGTGAAAGGAGGCCCTGGTGTGCGAGAAAGGATGGAGCCGCTTTTGAGCCAAACGGACTATATTTCAAAACTTCGTATTTTGGTACTTTCATAACAATGTCATTATACAGGCGATCCCAGAGATCGGCTCTTACAGAGTGTCGACTTCAGTGTGTGGATTCGAACACCAGGCTTGAGAGACATCAGCGAGCGAGTATATAACTGTGCTACTATTTTACCTTAATCTGAATGGAGTGAGTGAGTTGTGCAGATTTAACATGATGTGTGTGCACATAGTATGTCAATAGTAACAAGCGAAAATAACATTTTAAAGATAATGAATTATAACCCAAAAAATTAAATTGTTCTGCCATGAGTAACATCGCTGAAAGAAGACCGCACTCACACAGTAAACACACTTGGGAAAATTTAAAAAGATAAACGTTTCAATCTTACTTAACGTAATCCTAAATCAGAACGACTCAAAACAAACGCAATCCTTCAATCCATTTTTTCAGAGCCTGGTACTGTATGTACGACTTGGAAACATCTCTTCACTCAAGTAGAGTACAGATAATCTTTTTACTCTGAATTTGCGCCTTTAAAAAACGGTTGATTACTTAGATGTTAATATCTAGTTTAGTCCAGTCACG